GCATGCATATAAGCATAGCCAATAGACACAGACACTAGCGGGGTGAGGACATGAGCGGCAGGGTGGGGGGACAATGGGGAAGTAAGGATACATATGTAATACCTTAATCAATAAAGAATAATTTAAAAAAAGGAGTGGGCATCCTTGCTTTGTACCAGAAGGTAGATGGAAAGCTTTGTTTTCCCTGCATGGATTATGATGTTGACTATGGGCTTTTCATATATGGCCCTTATGTTGTGAGTTACGTTTCATTTCTACCTAATTTGTTCAGACAATTAATTATAAATAGATGTTTATTTATTTAATTTTATGTTTCAATTAAATTTTACATTCAATATTATTTTGTAATAGTTTCAGGTGTATAGCATAGTGATTAGACAATCATATATTTTACTTGGGGTGTCTGCCTTCTGAGCTCTATCCCCCATGTCCCCAGTCCTGGCTTCTGCTCTCACAGCTCCAGTCCACTTCACCCTCCCTCTGTCAGAGCACAGGGTGGGTGGCTCCACAGGGAATTTTGTGAGTTGGCCTTTTAAGAGGGTGCCTGAATTTTCAGCTGTTACTCTCTGGCAGACAGCACCCCACTGCTTTTCACAGCCAGATGTCATGTGGGTACCCTCCTTGGTTTTGGTGCTCTCTGCTGGGGGCCCAGCCAGGGGATTAGATCCCAGATCTCAGTGGCCCCCCCCCCCCCCGCCAGCTGAGATATCTCTCTTGGACTTCAACTGCTGTCTGTGGCCTGACTGGTAATGGAAATGGAAACCTTTTGGTGCATGGGACAATGCTCAACCAACTGAGCCACACCAGCCACTCAGTGCATTTTCATTGGTGACTTTAATTTACTTATACTTAAAGGAACTAATGGTAAGTAAAGACATATTGTTGCCATTTTGTGAATTGTTTTCTATTTTTGAAGTTAATTTGCCCCTCTTTCCTTCTCTTGCTGTCTTCCTTTTTTATTGGTTTATTTTGGTACAAATTTTCTTTCCTTCTTCTTTTGTGTATCTATCATAGTTTTTTACTTTTTGTTTAATTCAAGACTTATATAAAACATATACTTTAAACCTTAATTTTAAGTTTATAACTTAACTTCTATTGCATACAAAAACTACACTTTTACTCTCCCCTACTCATTTTGTATGACTGTATTCAGAGTTTTCTTCTTTTCATACTTATTATCAATTAATTAATAATCTTTTATCTCAACTTTCATATTAGGGTTGGTTAAAAGTAATTTATGCACAATGTTGCATTGCTTTAATCTGTATTTGTCTATATATTTACATTTGCCAATGAGATTTATGCATACATCTGTTTGCTTCTGCCAATTCTTTAAATATATTGTTCCAGTCTCCCCTGTTCTGCAAATCTACTGCTGAGAAATCTGCTTATAGACATATGATGGCTTCTTCATATGTAACAAAGCACTTTTATCTTGTTGCTTTCAAATTTCTCTCTGTCATTGACTTGACAATTTGATGATACAGTCATGTGCCACATAATGATATATCAGTCAATTATGGACTGCATATGCATATGACTATGGTCCCATAATTTATAAAAGAGCTGAAAAATTATCATCCAGTGACATCATAGCCTTTGTAATGCCATAGGACAATGCATCACAATACAGTACTATCTCAGGCCTTCACATTCACTCATCACACACTCACTGACTCATCTAAAGCATCGCATCTTCTAGTCCCGCAAGCTTCACTCATGGTAAGTGCCCTAAACAGGTGTACCATTTTTATTTGTTAAACTGTATTTTTGCTGTACATTTTCTATGTTTAGATATGTTCTGATACACAAATAAATATCATTGTATAACAACTTTCTACAGTATTCTGTAAAGTAACATGCTGCACAGGTATGTAACCTAGGAGCAATAGGCTATACCATATAGCCTAGGTGTAGTAGGCTACAGTATCTAGGTTTGCACTCTAAGTTATTTGCACAATGAAAAAATCACCTAAAGATGCAAATCTCAAAACCTAGCTCTGTATTTAAACAATATATTACTGTAATGTTTCTCAGTGTGATCTTATTTGGGTTGATTCTATTTGGACATTTTTGAACTTTATTAATGTGGATGTCAATTTTCCTCCCTAGATTTGGGAAACTTTCAACCATTATTTATTTAAATGAGCTTTTTTTCCCCTCCCTTTCTCTCTCTTTTCTCCTTCTGGGTTTCCCAAAATGCATAACTGTTTCTTTGCGGGTATCCTATATATCTTCAAGTGTTCTTTCTACTTTTCCATTTTTTCTCCTCTTTCTTCTCGACTGGAATATTTCAAATGACCTATATTCAAGTTCATAGATTATTCCTTCTGATTAAATGAGTTGTTATTGAAGCTCTCTACTGTGCTTTTCATTTTTGTCACTATATACTTCAGCTCTAAAATTTCTGCTTGGTTCTTTTTTATGATTTATATCTTTTTGTGAAATTTCTCATTTTTTCATGTACTATTTTCCTAATGTGATTGAATTATTTGTGTTCTCTTGTAGTTTTCTGAGTTTCCTTAAAACAATTATTTGAATTCTTTTTTTTTTAAATATATTTTATCGATTTTTTACAGAGAGGAAGGGAGAGAGATAGAGAGTTAGAAACATCGATGAGAGAGAGACATCGATCAGCTGCCTCCTGCACATCTCCTACTGGGGATGTGCCTGCAACCCAGATACATGCCCTTGACCGGAATCGAACCTGGGACCTTTCAGTCCGCAGGCCGACGCTCTATCCACTGAGCCAAACCGGTTTTGGCTATTTGAATTCTTTGTCAGGAAATTTATAGACTTCCATTTATTTGGGATCAATTATAGCGTTCATTTGGTGGTAATATTTTTCTTAACTTGTCATGTCCCATGTAGCCTTGCATTGTTGTCTGCACATTTGAAGCAGCAGGCAGCTATTTCACCCTTTATTGACTTACATTAGTAGGGAAATATTTCCACTTGTGGGTAGGTATAAGTACATTGTCTAGTGGGGTGCAGTGGCTCTGGTTCTAGCTGTTACAGTGGAAGCCAGTATGAGTTAAGAGATGTTAAGTCGAGGAAACTGATCATCAGTTCATCACTGTATCTTCATCTTTTATTCAAGAGGATTGATAAAATTAAAACCATATTACAAAACAGTGCTGAAGAGAAGGAAGAATGTGGAAAGGGCAAATACTTTGCACTTAACCAGACATGGGATTTAAACAGCTCTGCTAATTACTAACTTTGTGTCTCTGTTTCCTGATTTGCAAAATGGGAGTATTGAAAATGCTTTCCCCATCTGGGAATATGGTAAGAATTAACTGAGTTAACACAGGAGGTAGAAGATGAATAAGTTCTCAATACCTAATGCATGGTATTATGATTGTAGTTAACAATACCTTTATTGTATACTTAAAAGTGATTAAGAGACTATATCTTAAATGTTCAAAAAAAAAAAAGAAACAATGATGTGAAATTGTGAAGATGTTGGATAATGCTATGGTGGTAATAATATTATATATTGCAAAATATAAGTGTATCAAATCAACACATTGTGCACCTTAAACTTATACAATGCTATATGTCAATAATATCTACATTTTAAAAATTAAACTAATGGAAAAAATCATGGGAGATACTTAGTACATAGTAACTGGTAATTTCTTTCTATTATTATGTTTTGCTTAATGTTAATTTTAACTATGTCTTGCTTCTAGTTACATGAATCCACAAAAGCATGCATTTTTTCCATTATTACCTACTGTGAGTACTGATTAAAGACTAATTCTCATAAATCACCATGAACTTTTCAATTTTAGATGAGGAGGATGAAGAGAGCTACACTGCATTAAATTCAGAGTAAGTTTATCATACTGATTTAATTCAAGAATTTCCCCCTTTGCTTTTTCCTCCAAGATAAGGACCATGATACTTGAACATCTAGGAGCCTAAAAGAAAAGAGAGAAGAGGCTGCTACCAATCTGCCTATCATATTATATTGAATTTACCTGAAGTGTTAGATTGGAAACCTATGGCCCCTCAGACCATCTTTTGCCGCCCCTTATTACTCCCCACTAAAATTAAACGGTATTTATTTATTTAGTTATTTGTTTATTTATTTAGGCATTCATAAATGTTGAGAGTTATAATCCCACCTAATTCCAAAAGAGATTTGAGGGGCAGTCTTATGATCAAAGATAAGGAATAATTATCACAGGTAAAGGAGAGAAAACTAGTAGTAAAAAGGAATGGGATATTTCAATCCACAGGCATCTTTCTCTTCCTTCCATCTTTTTTTCCTTGCTGACTCTTTGTTCTTCCTCTTTTCTTTAGCCACTGCTGACAATACCACAAGTCTGCCAGCACCTTCACTTAGCTAAGGAGGTGGTACTCCAACTAAAGAGACTGCAGCCCGCCCAAGGTGGATTCTCAGAATTACCATTCAGTGGTAAATTATTTAGAGAAAGTTGAAGTAAAAAGCTTGATATGAAGCTGAAGGGGGCAGCCTTTAGCAGGCAAAAGATGAAATAGCTAGCAAGATAAAAATTAGTATTAATTCCTCTACAACAAAACAATGGACATAATTCAGTGTTTCCTCAAATGGGATTCTGACCTGTAATGGTTTTCTAGTTTCAATGTACAAGTTAGAGGTAAGATTAAGTGTACTTCTTTAGTAACTGCTTAAAATTGAAGTATATGGCCCTAACCGGTTTGGCTTAGTGAATAGAGCATTGGCCTGTGGACTCAAAGGTCCCAGGTTCGATTCCGGTCAAGGGCATGTACCTTGGTTGCGGGCACATCCCCAGTAGGGAGTGTGCAGGAGGCAGCTGATTGATGTCTCTCTCTCATCGATGTTTCTAACTCTCTATCCCTCTCCCTTCCTCTCTGTAAAAAAATCAATAAAAATATATTTAAAAAAAATTGAAGTATACGTATTATTGTCCTGCTCCCCTCAGCCCTCTTCTCTCCCATCACAGAATAAATCAATGAGTCACCTGCCTTGGATTTCTGAAGACACTTACCTGTATTACAATTAAGATCATCAGGCTCTGATTCCGTTCCATTTTGGCTTCCATTTCCCTGAAGAGTGTTCACAGCTATAAGCTTCATCTTCTGTAGCTTCATTGCCTCAGCCATGGCTGCAGCTGTTATACCTAAAACCAGAATTATCCCTTTTAAAATTAGGACAACTTAATGTAATTGAAAGCTTTATATGTTTCTTTATCAGGCCTATGCTACACAGCATAAGCAAAAGTAAGTCCACCTCTAGTTTATAAATAATATTCTTTAACAAAGTGAATTTCAATTCCCATAAATTACTTCATCTTGCAATGGACTATTTGAAAATCTAAAAATGCATTTATATGGTTGGATCCCCAATTCAAAACACAGAGAAACACAAAGAGAGTAATATGAAGATTCTTTTAGAAATTCCAAAACTCTTGCTAATGTGTTCTGGTGTCTGTTAAGATTTCTAGAGAGTTTTTTTTTTTAAAAGATAGAAATCACCTTATACTAAATTCCAACTAAAACAATATTATCAGAGGAAGCACACTGAAATGTTAGAAGGAACCACTTTCTAATGAATATACTGTTGGTGCCCATGAATGAAAGGGGGGGGGGGAGGTGGAAAAAAAGAATTCAAGTAGTCTTTCTCCCAGTTTACCCTCCTCATCCTTATACACTGAGGGATAAAATAAATATAAACATATCATGCCACATATGAAAGTTTGCCAGCCCCTGTAGTATAAAGCAATTACATTGTTTTGTATTAATATAAGTAAACTAGAGGCCCAGTGCACAGATTCGTGCACCATTGGGGGTCTCTTGGCCTGGCCTACAAATTGCAAGAGGGCACAGGCCAGGTCAAGGGACCCCACTGGTGCACCATTGGGGCTGGGAAGGGACCGTGGAAGGGCTCCAGGGCATGGCCAGCCCATCTCACCCAGTCCCAATCAGACGGACCCCAGCAGCAAGCTAACCTAGTGGTCAGAGAGTCTGCCTCCTGGTGGTCAGTGTGTGTCATAGCGACTGGTCGAATAGTAGAATGAATGGTCGGACACTTTGCATATTAAGCTTTTATTGTATAGGATTATTTTTAACTTTATATAATGGTATGAAGAGGTAGGAATAAAAAAACCCAAAGAGAAAACATGAGTGCTGAAGTTTGAAATTTTGTCTCCTAGGAAGTTTATATTAGGCTAAAAATATCTAAGGCAACAGTTTCTAAGAATAGAATCAATATTTCAGCAATGCTCTCCAAAAAGTCTAGTGAATTAAACTTAATTATTTATAGATAGTATTGAAATGCTATAAGCTAAAAAATAATTTTCCGGTAGATTTAAAACAGTATTTTAGAAGATATGCATTGGTTGTTAAAAAAAACAAAAACAAACACAACTGCTATTATTAGAGGAATTTGATTCTAAGAGGTAGAGTGAATCCTTATCAACAGTGTAAGAAGTAAGTGAGTACACCCTAGAACACTTGATTGTGTATGTTTGAGAGAATAACTAAGGTTCTATTTTGCCACTCTGTACTCTTTACAATGCAAGGAAACTCAAAATGAAGCAAGCTTTGACCACATTAGCTTGTCTATGAATCATGGAAAAGAAAGGATCTGAAAGAAAATTGTTTTAGTCTCTGAATTGATTATACACATTTGGATATTTTCTAGATTGTCCCAGAGATTTCATAATCATATTTAGCTTTACTGAATTCGGATCCTCCAAATCAGCGGTTCTCAACCTGTGGGTCGAGACCCCTTTGGGAGTCAAACGACCCTTTCACAGGGGTCGCCTAAGACCATCCGAAAACACATATATAATTACATATTGTTTTTGTGATTAATCACTATGCTTTAATTATGTTCAATTTGTAACAATGAAATTGGGGGCCACCACAACATGAGGAACTGTATTAAAGGGTCGCGGCATTAGGAAGGCTGAGAACCACTGCTCCGAATGGACAGAAAATATGATGGTAAGGATTTAAACAAAGGGACCCTGCCTAGGACAGCCACAGCTGAGTGCCTCATAACCTAAAATTAATCAAGAAAAGTTTCCCCGAATTTACATCAGTTCCTCTGACTAGCAATCCAGGACTGAATCTTGACTGTGATAATTATGAAATTACTAGTTGTTTCATGACTGGTAATGTAAATAGTGGATTTTTATGAGCAAAATATGGATTCTGACTTTATGAAAAATAAATCAACAAAATACTTTATAGACAAGATATTCCAAGTAAAATGTGTATCTCATAGAATGACACTAAGAAAGTGAATGAGGAAGAGTCCTCTAAAAATGTTTTAATTCATTGAAAAGATTATGTTTCAATATCTGTGCATTCTTTCAAGCAATTGCTATCTGCTTCCTTTTGAAGAAAAACTCAATGAAAAATTTCAGAAAATAATTTTAAGATGGTAAAAAATAATAGTATTTAAGAGCCATCAAAGATATTTAGGAGCCATCCAGTTCAATATCCTCATTTTGAAGATGAAAAAAAAAAATCTCACAGTAACCTGTCATGAAGCAAAACCCAAGTTTCCTCATGGGAGCTTGATGTATTAAAGTACTGAAGTAATTCAAACATGAGTTAATGAAAATGTCTAAAGGGCACTGGCCGCTGTGGCTCATTGGTTGGAGCATCAGCCTGTGCACAGAAGGATCTTGATTGTGAGTCCTGGTCAAGGGCACATGCCTGGGTTGTGATTCACTCCCTGTCCCCTGGTTGAGACGCATGCGGGAAGCAAACGGTAAATGTGCCTTTCTCACATTGATGTTTCTCTCTCTCTCTGTCCCTCCCTCCATCCCTTCCACTCTCTCTGAAAAGCAATGGAAAGGATATCCTCTGGTGAGGATTAACAAGAAAAATATCTAAAGGGATATGATTCTCTTATCAAACGCAGCCTTATATTTTTAATTATTTTTCTATAGCTTCTTGCATTTGATTCAAAGTTTAGAGATTTAACCTCTAACTCATATTTTGTATTGCCTTATGGTCCATATTGTAATGACTTTAAACTTAGGAGATTTTAAATCTTATTTGTTCAGTCTTCATTACAACGCCAGAATATCTATGTCTTTAGGTAAAACCATAATGAAGCAAAAAGATTTGTTTGACCTTTCATTAGCAATTTATCCTTTTAGTCAACTATTTGGTTAAATTCTTAATGTCACAATGCTCCTCAGTGTAACATTGATGGATTTAAAACAATAAATCATCTCCTAGCACCACATTCCCAAAATGCAACCCTGGAAGGGCATGCAGAAAAAAGCATTCTGAGGAGGAAAAATAGTGACTGAATAGGCAGACATGACGTACACATCGTCCTGGGGCCAGACTGGAAGTACAACTAAATCAGAGAACATCCACCCAGAATTAACAAATTAGACACAGCTAAGGAGACAATTTACAAGGAAGGGCAGAGGATGCCTGGAGACTGGTAGGAATGTTGATGTGGGCTTGATAGGAGCAGCTGGCAAGCAGGCAGAGAGGGTGAGAAGGAACTTGCATTGCACCAAAGACAAGTCCTTTGGAGACAGGCAAGATATCCAACTGTGAAAAAGAAAAGTTGCAGGGATACTGGCTTCTGGGGAATCTGGACCCAAGACCACAGCCACGAAAAGCTGCACTGCAAAAGGTGGCCCTAGCAGCACAATGCGTGAAAGTGGGGGAGGAACCCGCAGTTTCGTGGTTGTTTTGTCTTTGCTTTTATTCTCTAAACCCAGAACACAGGACTTTTTTTACTTACAAACACTCACATGAGGCTTTGGCACAGGGAGAGAGGCACAGACTTGGGGTGTCTGAGGAGAGGCTGGGGAGGGAAGCAAGGCAGGGAGACATGGCCAGGAATCCTGCATTGGGGCATTCTTAGGCTTCCAAACCTAAGCAGCCATTTCTCCCTAGAAGAGCCAGCCCCTCCCAATAGCCTCAAGGCAGATAATACAGCCTGCCACACCCTGAAGTTTGAGCTTTACAGAGGAAATAAAGGCAGAGGCCACACTTATGGTTCTGAATAGTCACAAGGGGCCCTCAGTGACTTTATAGGAAGAGGGGTCATCCACACTGCTATTCTGGGAACCAGACTGATAAAAACTGCAGGTTGCCAGCCAACACCATTGGTCACCATACAAGGATCTCTGACCAACCAAGGCAAAAGTAATATTGTGGGCCATTCGCAGAGGAGTCATTCTGGATCAGGCAAAAAACACCCATCTTATTCCCTGAAAGCAAAACAGGACCTCCCCATCTAAAGCCAGGTCAGAAAAAAATGCTTGAGTGATTAAGATTGAAAGCTGGCAGACAAGCAAAGAGGGCACTTTTCTCTGGTGGTCACTTTTATTGGGGTTATAGGTATCTTGTGTACATTTGTGTTCTGTTCCTTCTGTGTTATGTCTTGTCATGTTGTATTTACTTCTGTTTGGTCAGCACCTCCACAATGGTTGGCACGATGTGGGACAGAGTGAGCCACATAATCAGACACACTGATAATATACTCCATCCATGAACAGGACAATAACATTCAAGACCCAAATACATAAATAGAACCCAAATATCTCATGTAGGTAGCCTCTCTAGAACACCCAGTACAGAAGACCTGAGAGAATGTACCACTGGGTCCCACAAAACATCTACTACAGAAGACCAATTTAAAAAATCTGGGTGGCATAGCAGTGTGATGTAATATATAGAAACAATTACAAAGGAACAACAAAATGGGGAGACAAAGAAACATTCCCCAAATGAAAGAAAAAGGAGGAATCACCATAAAAGAAACTAAGTAAAATGGAGGTAACCAATGTATCAGAGAAATAATTCACAGTAATGATTTTAGGGATGCTCAAACATCTGGATGAGAAAATTTACCAGCATGTATTAAAATCAAGAAGAAATCGCCGAAACCGGTTTGGCTCAGTGGATAGAGCGTCGACCTGTGGACTGAAAGGTCCCAGGTTCGATTCCGGTCAAGGGCATGTACCTTGGTTGCGGGCACATCCCCAGTAGGAGATGTGCATGAGGCAGCTGATTGATGTTTCTCTCTCATCGATGTTTCTAACTCTCTATCTCTCTCCCTTCCTCTCTGTAAAAAATCAATAAAATATATTAAAAAAAAGAAGAAATGAAGAATGACTTAGCTGCAATAAAGTACACAATGAAAGGTTTCAACAACAGACTAGAAGAAGCTGAGGACAGAATCAGTAAGATAGAAGACAAGGTAGGGGAAAAAACACCAGAGCAGAGCAGCAACTGGAATAAAAAAATTAAAAAGCAGGAGGAGAGTCTAAGGGAGCTCTGGGACAACACGAAATGAAACAACACCTGCATAATAGGGATCAGAGAAGGACAGGAAGCTGAGCAAGAAATAGAAAACCTGTTTGAAGAAACAATGACAGAAAACTTCCCTGACTTTGGGAAGAAAAAGTCACACAAGTGCAAGAATCACAGAGAGTCCCAAATAAGATGAACCCAAAACACAGACACCAAGACACATCATAAACAAATTGGCAAATGTAAATGACAAAGTAAGAATCCTAAAGGCTGCCAGAGAGAGACAGAAATTTACCTACAAGGGATCTTACATTAGCCTATCAACTGATTTCTCAACAGAAAAATATAAGTCCAGAAGGGAATGGAATCAAGTATACAAAGTGATGCAAAGCAAGTGACTGAATCAAAGAATACTCTGTCAGCAATGCTATCATTCAAAACTTGAAGGGGAAATCAGGAGTTTCACAGACAAATAAAGGCTAATAGGGTTTATTATCACCAAGCCAGCAATATAAAAATGCTAAAGGGACTGTTGTAAAACGAAGAAATAGAAAGGAAAGAAGGAACACAGGCATAAAGAAAAAAATGGCAACAAGTACCTATCAATAACAACCTTAAAAGTAAATGGAATAAATGCTACAATCAAAAGACATAGGGTAGATCCAGATCAAGGTGGCAGCAGGCAGGGCAGCAGTGATGGAGAGAGTGTGAGTGAGTGAGGGAGCAAAAGGGAAGTGTGTGGACGTGTGTGTGTGTGTGTGTGTGTGTGTGTGTGTGTGTGTGTGTGAGAGAGAGAGAGAGTTAGATCCTGCAGGAGTCTCTGGGGCTGGCAGAGCAGGTTCTACTAGGCAGGTCACTGCTACTGCTGCAAGCACTCCCGGGGTCACCGGCTCAGGCACAGAAACAACACCATTTTGAAGAGGAGAGCTGCTGTGACTAGGAGCCCAGCCTTACCACCACCCAGACTGGCCTCAGACACTATACCAGACTCTACAGCCACTACAGCCTAAAACCTGATACCTCATCTGCAGACCCACAGACACCAGGACTTGAATCTCCCCAGAGTGGGCTTGCCTCCCACCAAACCACTGCTTTAGCTACAGGCCCTGCATTACCCAGTGCCTGGGCTATCCAGTGAGTCTCCAAGTGCATGACCCTCCGGCCAATCCCACTGCTTTAGCCACAGATCCCATGTGACCTGGCACTTGGGCCCTCCAGTGACTTTCAGAGTGTGCTACCCTCCCACCAAGCCCACTGATTCAGCCACAGGCCCTACGCAACCCAGCATCTGGGCCCTGTGATGAGTCTTAGAGTGTGTGACCCTCCTGCCAAGTCCACTCCTTCAGACACAGGCCTTATGCAACCCAGCACCTGGGCCATTGGTGAGAGCAAAAATGGGGAGACAAAAAAACAACCCTCAAAGGAAAGAAAAGGAGGCATCATCATAAAAAGAATTAAGTGAAATGGAGGCTGCAATATGTCAGAAAAAGAATTCAGAGTTGCCCTGGCTGGTTTGGCTCAGTGGATGGAGCGTCGGCCTGCAGACTCAAGGGTCCCAGGTTCAATTACGGTCAAGGGCATGTACCTTGGTTGCGGGCACATACCCAGTAGGGAGTGTGCAGAAGGCAGCTGATCGATGTTTCTCTCTCATCTATGTTTCTAACTCTCTATCCCTCTCCCTTCCTCTCTGCAAAAAATCAATAAAATATTTTTTTAAAAAAAGAATTCAGAGTAAGGGTCTTACAGTTCCTAAAACAGCTGGATGAGAAAATCAACAACTTATGTAAGAATCAAGAGGAAATTAAGAATGATATAACTACCAAGAAAACACAATGGAAGGTTTCAACAGTAGACTAGAAGAAGCAGAGGACCAAATTAGCAAGTTAGAAGAAAGGGTAGAAAAACACAACCAATCTGAACAGCAATTGGAGAAAAAAAATTAGAAAGCAGGAGGAGAACCTAAAGGAGCCTTGGAACAAAGTAACATCTGTATTATAGGGGTTCCAGAAGGACAAGGAGTGGAGCATGGTTTAGGAAACCTAATTGAAGAAATAATGACAGAAAATTTCCCTGATTGGGGGAATAAAAAAATTCATACAAGAAGAGAGAGTCCCAAACAAGATGAATCCAAAAAGACCTGCACTAAGACATGTCATAATTACAATGGCAAACATTAATGACAAAGAATGAATCTTAAAGGCTGCAAGAGAGAGACAGAGAGTCAAGGAATCCCCATTACATTATCAAATGATTTCTCAACAGAAATACATAAGGCCAGAAGGGAATGGAATGAAGTATACAAAGTGATTCAAAGCAAAGGGCTGAGTCCAAGAATACTGCATCCAGCAAGGCCATCATTCAAAATTGAAGGGGAAATCAGGAACTTTTCAGATAAAAAAGGGCTAAGAGAGTTTATCACTACCCAGCCAGCAATGCAAGAAATGCTAAAAGGACTGTTATAAAAAGAAGAAATCGAAAGGGAAGAAGGAACACAGGCATAAAGAATAAAAATGGCAACAACCAAGTACTTATCAATAATAACTTTAAACATAAATGGATTAAATGCTCCAATCAAAAGACAAAAAGTGGCTGAATGGATAAGAAAACATGACCCACGTATATGCTGTCTACAAGAGACCCACCTCAGAACAAGGGACTCATACAGACTGATAGTGGATGGAAAAACAAATTTTCAGGCAAATGGAAATTTAAAAAAAATGCTGGGGTAGCAATACTTATATCTGACTAAACACCTCAAAGTGAAGGCCATAATAAGAGATAAAGAAGGCCACGTTGTAATCCTACAGGGATCAATACAACAAGAGGTTATAACTCTGGTAAACATATACGCACCAAATGCAGGAACATCTAAATATATAAAAAGCTTCTGGAGGATATCAAAGGAAAGATCAACAGCAATGCAACCATAGTATGGAAATTTAATACCCCACTGACATCATTGGATAAATCTTCTAGACAAAAAAAAATCAATAGGTAAACAGCAGTACTAAATGATACTTTAGAACAGATGGAACTATTGACATTGTCAGAACAGTTCAACCCACAGCTACAGAATACATATTCTGCTCAAGTGCACATGGGACATTTTCAAAGATAGACCACATGTTAGGACACAAGCTAAGTCTCTACAAATTCAAGAAGATTGAAATCACATCAAGCGTTTTCTCAGACCACAATGGCATGAAATTAGAAGTCAGCTACAATAAAAACACTCAAAAACAATTAAATACACAGAGGCTAAACAGCATTACAAAAAAAAATAAATGAGTTACCAAATAGATCAAAGAAGAAATAAAAAACATTATAAAAACAAATGAAAATAAACACACAATAATCCAAAATCTATGGGACACAGTGAAAGCAGTTCTGAGAGGGAATTTCATAGTACTACAGGCCTACTTCAAAAAACAAGAGAAACTGATAGCAAATTATCTAACATTAAAACTTAAAGGATTAGAAAGAGAACAAGAAAAATCCAGAACAAGTAGAAGGAAAGAAATAATAAAGATCGTAGTGGAACTAAATGACATAGAGACCAAAAAATAAATAAATAAATAATATAATAATAATTAATAATACATATGATCAATAAAACCAAGAGCTGGTCCTTTGAAAGGATAAACAAGATTGATGGACCTTTACCAAGGCTCACCAGAAAACAAAAAAGAGGATAGAAATAAACAAAATCAGAAATAAAAGAGGATATAACAATTAACCCCAAGGAAATACAAAGGATTGTAACAAAATGCTATGGACTACTTTATTCCAACAAATGTGAAACCTGGATGAAATGGCCATATTCATAGAAAAATACAACATTCCAATACTTTGTCAGGAAGAATCAGAAAACCTGAATAGGCTGGTAACTACTGATGAAATTGGAGCAGTAATAGAAAAATTCCCAGCAAACAAAGTTCATTTTCCAGATGGATTTACAGGAGAGTTTTACCAAATATTCAAAGAAGTAACACTTCTACTCCTCAAACTATTTCAGAAAATCCAAGAAGAAGGAACATTTCCAAACTCTTTTTATGAGGCCGGCATTACCCTAATTCCAAAACCAGATAAAGAAAATAAAAAGAAAGAGAATTACAGGCCAAAATCCCTGATGGACAAAGATGTTAAAATCCTCCACAAAATATTAGCAAATAGCATCCAACAATATATTAAAAAGATCATGCACCATGATAAAGTTGGATTTATTCCAGGGATGCAAGGCTGGTAAAATATTCACAAATCAATAATCGTGATTCATCACATAAAGAAATTGAAAGACAAAAATCATATGGTCATATCAATAGGTGCAGAAAAAGTATTTGACAAAATCCAACACCCATTTTTGATAAAAACTCTCAGCAACGTGGAAATAGAGGGAGCATATCTCACCATGATAAAGGCCCTATATAACAAACCTACAGCCAATATCATACTCAATGGGCAAAAACTAAAACCATTTCCCCTAAGAACAGGAACAAGACAGGGATACCCTCTTTTACCACTCCTGTTCAAAGTAGTTCTGGAAGTCTTGGCCATAGCGATTAGACAAGAAAAAGAAATAAGAGGCATCCAAATTGGAAAAGAGGAAGTAAAACTCTCACTCTTCACAGATGACATGATACTGTACATAGGAAACCCCAAAGACACCATCAAAAACTACTAGATTTAATAAATGAATTTGAAAAATTAGCAGGATACAAAAATTAACACCCCAAAATCCATAGTCATTTTATACACCAACTAGAGGCCCAGTGCATGAAATTCTGCACTGGTGGGGGGTGGGGTTTCTTCAGCCTGGCCTGCACCCTCTCACAGTCCAGGACCCCTCGCTCCTTACTGCCCACCTGCTCACTGTTTCTTATCACTCGGCTTACTGCTCCTTAGCGCTGTCACAGAGGCGAGAGAGGCTCCTGCCACTATAGCTGCGCTCACCAGCTGTGAGCCTGGCTTCTGGCTGAGCAGCACTCCCCCTGTGGGAGTGCCCTGACCACCAGGGGGCAGCTTCTGGCGTCTTCCCCCTGGTGGTCAGTGGGCATCATAGTGACCGGTCGTTCTGCCATAATAGTTGCTTGGGCTTTTATTATACAGATAGTGAACTCTCAGAAAGAGAAACTAAAACAAACAAACAAACAAACAAAAACGTTTACCATTGCAATTAAAAAATTACGGTACTTAGGAATAAACTTAACCAAGGAGGGAAAAGACCTGTACTCTGAAAACTACAGAATGTTGAAATAAGAGATAGAGGAAGATATAAACAAGTGAAAGAAAATACCATGCTCATGGATTGGTAGATCAACATCATTAAAATGTCCATACTACCCAAAGCAATCTATAAATTCAATGCAGTCCCCATTAAAATACCAATGGCATATTTCACTGATCCTGTGAGCCCCCTCTCGCCCCACAGGCAGATCCAGCCTCACCACTTGGCTGCCACTGGAGTGTCTGGTCCTGTCAGCCCTGCCAGGGGGAGCCGGGAGCAGGGGCCAAGTGATGAGGCTGGCTCCGCCCCCTCAGGCTGATCCAGCCTCCCCACTCAGCCTCTGCTGGAGTGTCTAGTCCTGTCAGCCCAGCCAGGGGGCGGGTGGAGTTCCCAGTCCTTTTGGTTTCTGCGGCCCCTGGACTGGAAGCAGAAACCAAGAGCATGGGGAACACCAGTAATTCTGGGAATCATAGTTCTGGTGGCAGCCCCTGGACCAGAAGCGGAATCCCAGAGCATGGGGAGCACCAAGAATGCTAGGAATCATAATTCTGGTGGCAGATGCATTGTGCGATCTCCTACCTAGACACTTGAGCAAAGTGAGCTTGGAGCAAGTTATTGTTGCGGATGGGGAATGGAGGGAAAGCAAAGGTGAGAGACATAAGTAAAGTCAGAGTGTCGAGGAAAAATTAAAAGGAAGATATCCTGCAACTTCTAGGAAATCTCCACCAATGGAGCAAAGAAAAAAGAAAGACCTATATGATTCTGAGAGCACCAAACCAAACTTGGCTGGGGTCTCACACAATTTGCTCATATGATTGAAAAGACAGATAAACTTCACTCTTTTATGTACCCAGGCAGATACAATGCACAACATGCACTTTTTCATGGAAAAGGACTTAACAGCACCATTTGCTATACACCCTTTGGTAAGTCACCTTTTTGTGGCCATCTGTATTAGTTAATTGCTATAATCAAGAGTAAAAATTAAAACTTTTCTATCTCTATGACAAGCAGGTCCTTACAGTTTGGAGCAAGACAACTATCTATAATAATAAAAGTGTAATATGCTAATTAGACCAGTTAGCCAAAACCTTCCAGACATTAATCCAGATGTCCTTCCAGACGAAGCTGTGGTGGTGGGGCTGAGGCAGAGGTGGTTAGGGGCGATCAGGCCGGTAGGCAAGCAGTTAGGGACGATCAGGCAGGCAGGCAGAGGCAGTTAGGGGTGATCAGGCAGGCAGGTGAGCAGTTGGGATCAGGCAGGATCAGGCAGGCAGGTGAGCAGTTGGGGCAATCAGGCAGGCAGAGTGGTTAGAGGCAATCAGGAAGGCTGGCAGGCAAGAGTCCCGGATTGTGAGAGGGTGCAAGCAGGGCTGAAGAACTGCCCCCCCGCACGAATTTCGTGCACCAGGCCTCTAGTCCTATGTAATAAAAGGCTAATATGCAAATTGTCCCCTAGGGAGTTCGACCAACCAGGAGTTCAACCACCTGCTATGATGTGCGCTGACCACCAGGGGGTGACACGGAACAAAGGAAGGCCCCAGCTGGCAGCTGGAAGACCCTAATTGGCCCTGATAGCTGGCCAGGACCCTACCCATGCATGGATTTCATGCACCGGGCCTCTAGTACATACAATAAAATATATAGCATCTAAACTATAACTTTATAGAAACAGATACCAACAGAAAAGAGTCACATTCTTAGAAGAAAGCTGAAAAAAATACCAATTCATTAACTGAATTCACTTTTGACTTGAAAATCAATAGTAACAGTAATTGATCAAACTTAAGCCTATATTTGGATGATTTTGGCATTGCTCTGCAGCAGGTATCAACAATAAATAAAAAAAGATAGATAGAGTATATAAGCATTAACAGCATTAATAAGAGATAAAGACAGAAAAACTTAGCTAAATTCAAATACATAAGAAAAAAATTAAGAAAGCTTCCAGATTGGAAAGGAAATTGAATTTACTAAAGGTATTTTGGAATATGCATTTTATAAAATCAAATATTTAGGAGGATATACTTTAAGACTTCTCACTAAGGATATTAATATTAAAAAGTGATCAATGATTTCTGTCTTCACTGTTTGTTCTGCTTACTGTAGCTATAAGACTTGAATTCCTTCTGTGTTTTGAAAAGCCGGTTCTAAGAAGCCTTTGTGGAAAACTAGCAACACATTTTGAAATTAGTTCAAATAAAATATATTTTGTTTAGAGGACAAATTCAAGAGGAAAACTTCCTTTCTATTTTCTGTTAAAAATAGAATAAATAAGAAATAGGTCTCAAATTAAAAATCTATTTTGGTCTAAAATTAAGCTATAATTCTAACTGCTATGTAGCAGCTAATGAAAATTTAAATGAATGTTGTGCTTGTTCAAATGTATCAAACTGCACCTAAGAGAATATTAAATATTGATAATAAACCACCTTCCAGAAATGTAATTGGCTTCCTGAAGATCACTGACACTCATAGATTTGAAGTAGCTGGTCTTCCCTTGGATATGCCACATAAGTACCAGAGATTCAACTGTGCAATCAATTCTCCACTCTTCTGGATAGTAGCTTTCAAATGTTGCCATGTTTTGTTGCCCCAGAGAGCTCCTACAATGATTCTGTTTTTTTCATTAAACATTATGACATTTTGCATTCTAAATATTTATATACTACTTAAAAAGCAAAATTAAAAAATCCAACAAAACATCTAAAAATGCTGATTGGTCAAAATTGCATTTTAAAATAATCTACATATTGAAGATGATAAAGGGTATAATATATAATATCAGAAAGGATCTCAGAAAATTGTAATGATAGTGCTTGTCTGGTCCAAATTGTATTGGAAAAATATTGCATAAGGAATCAGAAGGACTAGAGATTACAAACTGATTTATTTATAGCTAGTTTTATTCCTCATTGAATCACTTTATCCCCTCTTAGAATCAATTTCCTTTTCTTTAAAACGAGGTTATAGGAAGCAATCAAGATATCCTTCAGTAGGTGACTAAATAAATAAACCATGGTACATCCAGACAATGGAATATTATTCAGCACTAAAAAGAAATGAGGCACCACTGCAATATAACAGATCTTGTAACATAGAAATCCACACATGAAACCTATATGTTCATGGTGACCATTGTCACCCCAATCAATGTAATAAATCCTATCTAATAATAGACAAACATGGTAATTAACCATACCTCCGCTACGCTTCCCATTGGCTAATCAGCAGGATATGCA